GGGTCGGGCGGTGGTGTCTGGAACCTCTTCTTCCGCGCGCTTGTCGGGCCGGGCGCGAGCCGCGCCGAGAACATGCCGCACGTCTTCGCGTACCTTTTGCTGGTGTTTGTACCGCCGCTGGTGCTGTGTACGCTCGTGATGCGGACGCCGCCCGCAAGCTTCCGCGTCGGCGGCCACGACATGCACGGGATTCCGACCGAGAAGGCGCCGTCGGCCAGCTTTGTGCAAGACGAGTTTCTCAAGGTCGGCATGACGCTCGTCAACTACGCAGCGATTCGCCGGTCGTCCGAGCCGCCGGTCGAGGGCACGGAGCGCCATTACTACGAGCAAGTCAAGGCGCTGACGCTGCTGCAGTGCATCTTTTCGACGGACTTCCTCTGCCTCTTCCTCGCCGCGACCGCGCTCAACATGCCGGCGAGCGTCTACTTTGAGCTCTCGACCACGACGACCGCGGGCGACTACAAGTCGATGGCGTGGTTCCATGCCACCAAGCACGAGATTGACGACGTCTTCTCGGTCGGTCTTCTCAGCAGCTCGGTCGGCCGCCTCGTCTGCCCCATGGTTTCCGACGTCCTCATCCGCGTCTTCTACGCCAACCCCGCCTTTGCGCGCAAGGTCGTGCTGCTGCTGCTCGTGCTCGTCGACGCGGTCGGGCTCGCGATCCTCGTCCCGCGTTTGGAAGGCGATTACGACACGCTTGTCCAGGTCGTCTATGTGCTCAAGTTTGTGAGCGGTGGCGGCGGGTCGATGGTCGCCTGCCTCGTCACCGACCTCTACGGCATCTACAACGTCGGCACCATGTACGGCCTCGTCTTGCTCTACTGGGCCGTCGGACTCGCGAGCGTCGGGCTCTCCTTCTCGGGGTCCGCGGCGCAGTTCCTCTCGCAGATGGACTCGATGGTCGCCGTGTGCTGCATCGGGTGTGCCCTCACGTGCCTCGTTCGCACGAGCTCGTCCGACCGGTTTTACAAGGGGTACCAGTTCTCCATCGGCCGCAAGCCCATTCTGCAGATCCCGTTCTCGCACCCGACACCGACCGACGCCGTCCTCGTCGTGTCGCCAGACCGCAGCTCCTTCTTCATGTGGGACTCGGACCACAGCGCATGAGTTTACTTTAAGTGCACAAATGTATGTAGCCGTGCTGTCTGACTCAAGCCGCGTGGGCGGCTCTGCGGACACTCGTCTCGAGGGCGGCCAGCACAACGTCGGCGGGGAGGGTGTCGGGCAGCAGCATCAAGAGATCGTCGGGCGTCAGCGTCACACTCAGATGCGACAGCGCCTCGTCCAGCACGCTCGCCATCTAGGACCAGGAGCTCACGCACGTGACGCGAGACGCGCGCTTACCTCGGGGGGGAAGAGCAGGTCGAGGAGCATCGCCCATTCGGCCAGCGTCGTGCAGTATGCGACTGCGTATGGCACGAGCAAGCTTTGATACGCCGTGGTCGCGGCCAGGAGGGCGAGCCCGTCGCCGAGCCTACACACATAGTAGATTTCGTTGACACGTCGAGGGCTCAAACACGCACCGGCCGACCAGTGGGAGTAGCAGCAGCTGCAGCAAGACCGCCATCGGGCTCTGGACCGTCGTCTCGACGTCGGAGAGGACGTCGTTCGGCTCGACCACTGCGTCGCGCACGAGGTGGCAGGCGAGGAGGTAGAGGGTCTGGAGCGTCTGCTGCACGTGCGGCAACGCGTCCGGCGACATCGCCACCGCCAAGAAGGGCGCGACGAACGCCGGCAGCGGCTGCGCGAGCTTCTGCGGCAGCAGCGACGCGCGGGTCGAGAGCGTCTTGGCGACGGCGGCCTGCGCGCCGTCGCCGCTCGCACTCAGACGCGCAATGCACACAAGCAGCTCTTTCGCCACCGGCGCGAGCGGCCCGTCGTGCGCGCGCAAGTGCACGAGCATGAAGTGCAGCGTCGCGAGCACGAGTTCTTCGTCGGATGCAAAGGCAGCGACCATGTGCGCGCGTCCATGCACGATGCGTTGGGACGCGCGCACGCCAGGTTCGCCGAGAACGCCGAGCGCAAAGGTAGCGACGGTCGGAAATGCATTGCCGTGGCCCAGTGCGCTGTGCACAATAAGCTCGAGCGCCGAGAGAAGCTTGAGCGGCGCGCGCTCTCTGAGGGCGTCGGCGAGCCACGACCGGTAGTAGCCCGGCGCGATCGCGGCCTCGTCGAGCGACGTCGGGTGTTTCTGGACGAGGAACTCGGGGTGCGTCACGCAGAGGTGCACGAGCGGGTCCGGGTAGTTCTCGGCGAGCCAGCCCACTTGGTCGGCCAGCGTCTCGTAGCTGTACGCGTTGGCGCCGGGGAGGTACGCGGCTTTGGCGTCGACGAACGCAGCGACCTCTTCCCGGGCGCCCCGGTTCGCGCGCACGATGGCCACGAGCATCGCGACGCGGAGGAGCACGGTTTTGTGGCGCGCGCCCCGGAGCACGTGGAGGCAAAAGTCCAAGTCCATCAAGCTCCAGACCAGCGACGAGTCGATGACGAGGCGCGCGAGCTGCTCGGGCGCGCCGTCGCCGTAGTGCCGCAGCACGACGCTCGTGAACGTCGGGTCGGCCGACTCGGTCTCCGAGAGCACCGGTGTCGTGAGCCCGAGGTAGAGCGCCGGGTCCTTCTTCGGGAAGAGGAAGGCCTCGAGGTAGAGCGCCGTCGCGTCAATCACGTCGGCGTCGGCGTCGTCGATGCTGCGGAAGCGCAGCAGCACGTCCCGGGACGAGACGTTCGAGGCGACGTACAAGAGCGCCGCCCGCGTCAAGTTGCGGTGCAGCGGCGCCGTGTACAAGTGCGCGATGTGGGCCGCGCAGGCGCGCGCGAGGCCGTCGTAGAGCTTGGCTTCGAGGCGCACGGCCGCCGCTTCCTTGGGCGAAAGCGAATTCGAGCTGCCCGTGAGCACACCGAGGCTGACGTCGGCTCGGAACCGGTAGAGAGAGAAGAGACTCAGGAGCAAATCGACTTGGTCGGCCGACACGTGGTCGCCGAGCGTCGCCGCCTAGAAGGAATACGATCGATGGGGATCGCAGCGTCATTTTCGGTACCTTGGCCGAGGCAAAGATGGTGGCGGGCGGACTCTGGGGGTAGACGAACACTTGGCCGTCGCCGATGGCGTCGTGGCGACGGGCATGCGACCGCAGCTCCAACGGCACCGAGTGCATCGGTGCGGCCGACGCGCGCGAGAGATACCGCGTGTGGAGCGTCCCCGGCGGGCACGTGAGGACGACGACATGCGCGTCGAGGGCCACGATGGCGTGTGCCGGTGACGGCAGCGGGCGGACTCCGAGCAGCTGCGGCGACGACGGCTGCGGGAGGAAGAGGCTCTCGAGGGCCTTGGTCGCGCCACGTGCTGGCACGGACTCCAGAGCGACCACACTTCGAGGCCGCCGAGCGTCGCGGCAAAGAGAAACGAGCTGTTGGCGGTGATGCACGCGACCGGCGCGGTGAAGCGGTAGCACATGACGACGCGGCCCGACTCGGTGGGCCGCCGACGGGACGTGAACGACGACGACTGGCCATTGGCTGTGATCGCGATCGGCTCGACGATGCCCCGCAGCGGGTCTTCGGCGCGCTGCAGAATCTACGAGAGCGCTGAGTCGCACCTCCAATTCAGCTCCATCTACCTTTTTCGACATTTGATCGCGCGTCGTGTCGACCTGGTCTGCGAGCAGGTAGTAGAGGAAGGCCTCGGCCGAGGTGCCCACGAGGAGGCGTGCGTAGCTCTGGCTCTGCGCGAGCCGGCCGTTGGCGATCGTCTCGGGCAAGAAGCGCAGCGCGTCGATCGCGTGGTTGGGCGGTACGAACCGCTGCAAGAGCACTTTGGCGTGGCACTGCACGTACCTACAAACATGTCCTTAGCGTGCCAGCGTCGGACATCGCAGCAGTGTACTCCATGGCCGCGTTCACGCGCACGTCTTCGTCGCGGACGAGGCCCGCAAGGTTGTACGCTTCGAGCGTCGCATCGTCTTTGGCCATGACCCGGACGCGGTGGCGCGGCGTCGGCGACGGCAGCGGCGCCGGCGACCGGCCGCTCAGGCTCGGGATGCGGATCGTAGGCAAGTGGTCCTTCTCGAGTGTGTTGTAGATGAGTTCCTTCTTTTGGTAAACCATCTTGGACGTCGGCGCGGTGCTAGGTGTCGCGGAGGGGTCTGTGACGACCTGCACTTCGAGGACGCGGACCTCGGTCGGCGACGCCACGGCCACGTATGCGCCGTGTACGGCCACGTGCGAGATCGCCATGTCGATGCTGAGCTCCATGACGTGCTCGAAGAAGCCGTCGCTGGTCTGCCAGAGGTTGAGGCCGGGGCTCGACGGCGTCGTGAGCGCGACGCGGCCCGTGAAGGCGCAGACGCTGAGGCACACGGCGCGTGGGTCGTCGATCGCGAGCGGCAGCGTGTAGGCGCGCACGAGTTTGCGCGCATCGAGCGACGGCGCGCGCCAGTCGTGGTAGACGCAGAGGTAGCAGTCGCTGCTGTCGCCGACGTCCGTCTCGAGCGTCACGAGCGCGTCGCAAAAGGTCGTATGGAAGAGGCGGAGAATGCGCCCGTGGATCGATGAGAACTCGTGCAGGAGGTAGAGCTCGCTGGACGCGTAGACGCGCACGCGGTTCTCATGGCTCACGGCGAAGGTCGCATCGCGCTCCGTGAGCGCCGTCCCGCACACGCAGCTCGTCGCCGTCATCCGCAGGATTCTGGTCTCGTATCCGGATGACCGACTTCAACCTCCGAGATGGCGTCTCGCATTATGTTGCGTGTCATGAGAGAGTGCTTTCGAACCTCGGAGAGAGCACCATGCACCATGCAGTGCTGTTGAGCGCCCAGCTCGGTGCACACCGATGGCCTGATTAGGACTACCTCGCAAGAGCGACGATCTGTGCCATCATCGCTGGCTTGCAACGGCAACGTCGGCCGCCACGTCACGTACCAGGTGCATTCATTAAGTTAATATATCGATCGTAGAATCTACGCGTGGGGCTCGATGTCCAAGTCAATGTCGTGGTCCGAGTCCCAGTGGAAGAAGGTCGAGCCGTGCGGGTCGTGCGTGTTCCTGCTCGCAAAGTGCTTTTGATCTTGCGAGGCGAACGGGATCTGCAGAATGGGCTTGCGGCAGAGCGTAAACTGATATCCGTGGAAGAACCGGTCGGACGAGTTGGTGCGGACGAGGCAAATCAGCGCAGCAGCCACGAACGAGACGACGACCATCGAGCCCATTTGCGAGAAGAACTCGGAGCCCGAGCCTGAAAACGTCAGCCCGACACTCGCGAGCCCAACCGCCCACGAGAGGGAGACGAGGCCGTACATTGTGCCCACGTTGTAGACGCCGTAGAGGTCGGTGACGAGGCAGGCGGTCATGGAGGCGCCGCCACCGCTCACAAACTTGAGCACGTACGTGGCCTGGACAAGCGTGTCGTAATCGCCTTCCAAACGCGGAACGAGAATCGCGAGCCCGACCGCGTCGACGAGCACGAGCAACAGCAGCACGACCTTGCGCGCAAAGGCGGGGTTGGCGTAGAAGACGCGGATGAGGACGTCGGAGAACATGGGGCAGACGAGGCGCCCGACCGAGCTGCTGAGAAGACCGACCGAGATCACATCGTCAATGTCCCGTTTGGCGACGCCAAACCAGGACATGGACTTAAAGTCGCCGTGCGCGTCCGTGGTTGAGACCTCGAAAAAGACGCTCGCCGGCATAAAGACAGCGGTCGAGACGAGGAAGAGGCAGAGGAAATCCGTCGAAAAGATGCACTGCAGCAGCGTCAGCGCCTTGACTTGCTCGTAGTAGTGGCGCTCCGTGCCCTCGACGGCAGCGTTTGAGGGCGGGTGCTGCAGCGCCGCGTAGTTGACCAGCGTCATGCCGACCTTGAGAAACTCGTCTTGCACAAAGCTGGCCGACGGCGCCTTCTCGGTCGGAATCCCGTGCATGTCGTGGCCGCCGACGCGGAAGCTTGCGGGCGGCGTCCGCATCACGAGCGTACACAGCACCAGCGGCGGTACAAACACCAGCAAAAGGTACGCGAAGACGTGCGGCATGT